CAAATTTCCTCAGTTTATTTTTGTTTAAAATATATTTTTTATTCTTTTTTATTGATAAATAATAGCTGTACACATCAAAAATGTCTATTTCATCTTTGTTTTGGAAAGATGGTCTTGCTGAATGTAGAATTCTCTGTAGTCAGTGTTTGTCATTTAGCACTGCGAAGATGTGTTCCATTTACTTTGTCCTCCATTGTTGCTGATGAGAAGTCAGTCACCATTTGTATCATTGTACTGTGTGTAATGTGACAGTTTTCAATAGTGGCTTTCAAGGCCACCTTTTTATCTTTGTATTTCAGCAGTTTCACTGTGATGTTCCTGGTGTTTTCTCTACATTTATCTTGCATAGGTCTCACTAAACATAAGTTAAAAGTTTTCAAGCATTTAAAAGAAAATTTCCTTTGCCTCTCTTTCTGGGACTTCATTACACATAAGTTACTGCTTGGTAGTCTCACATGTCGCTACAGTTCTGTTCATATTTCTTCACTTTTTTTTCTTTCCAGATTTTACATTAGATATTTTCTTTTGACCTACCTTCAAGTTTAATAGTTTCTTCTGCTGTTAAATTCTTCTAGTAAAATTTTATTTCTGTTACTACACTTTCCAGCTTTAGAATTTGAGTTGGTATTTTTCTCTGCAATTTCTATACATCTGCTAAGATTACCCATCTGTTGTTTTATTATATGTATAACATTCTTAAGTTTTTGAACATACTTATAGTAACTACTTTAAAACTTCTCTGATAATTGCAGCATCTGGGTTCTCTCAAGCCAGTTTATACTGACTGTTTTTTTTTTTTTTTCTTGAGTATGGATTACATTTTCCTTGTTCTCAGCATGTTGAGTGATTTTTTAAATTGAATCTATGCATTATAAATGACACATTTGTGAAGACTCTGGAATATTTCATATTCTTCTAAACAATAATTTTTGGTCTAGAATATAGTCAATTTGACTGTACTCAAAGTCCAGACTCCAGTTCCCCTGTGGTAAAAATCAGCTGAAATCTCCCCTTAGTTCTTGATATGGTTTAGCTCCGTGTCCCTCACCTAAACCTCATCTAGAATTGTAATCCTCATATGTCAAGAGAGGAAAGTGGTGGGAGGTGATTGAATCATGGGGGCAGTTTCCCCCATGCTGTTCTCATGACTGTGAGTGAGTTCTCATGAGATTTGATGGTTTTAAAAGTGTGGCACTTTCTCTCTCTCTCTCTCCAGCCATCATGTAAGATGTGCCTTGCTTTCTTTTCTCCTGCTGCCATGATTGTAAGTTTCCTGAGGCCTCCCCAGCCATGTGCAACTGTGAGCCAATTAAACCTTTTTTCTTCATAAATGACCCAGTCTCATGTAGTTCTTTATATAAGTGTGAAAATGAACTAATACAGAAAATTGGTACCAGTAGTTTGGGGCACTGCTTATTAAAGATACTTGAAAATGTAGAAGCAATTTTGGAATTAGGTAACAGACAGACATTGGAACAGTTTGGAGGACTCAGAAGAAGACAGGAAGATGTCGAATGTTTAGAACTTTATAGAGACTTGTTGATTTGTTTTGACAAAGGTGCTGATAGTGATATGAACAATAAAATCAAGGCTGAGGTGGTCTCAGATGGAGATGAGGAACTTATTGGGAACTGGAGTAAAGGTTACTCTTGCTATGTTTTAGCAAATAGACTGGTGGCATTTTGCCCTTGCCCTCGAGATCATGGAACTTTGAACTTGAGAGAGATGATTTAGGGTATCTGGCAGAAGAAATTTCTAAGCAGCAAAGCATTCAAGAGGTGACCTCACTTTTTCTGAAAGCATACAGTCATATGCATTCACAAAGAGATGATACAAAATGGGAACTTATGTTTAAAAGGGAAGCAGAACATAAAAGTTTGGAAAATGTGCAGTCTGACCATGTGGTAGAAAACAAAAATCCATTTTCTGGGGAGAAATTCAAGCCAGCTACAGAAATTTGCATAAATAACAAGGAGCCGAATGTTAATAGCCAAGATAATGGGGAAAATGTCTCCAGGGCATTTCAGAGATCTTCATAGCAATTCCTCTCATCACCGGCCCAGAGGCTTAGGAAAGAAAAATGGTTTTGTGGGCTGGGCCCAGGGCCATGCTGCTATGTGCAGCTTTGGGACACGGTGTCCTGTGTCTCAGGTGCTCCAGCTCCAGCCATGGCTAACAGAGGCCAGTGTACAGCTCTTGCCATTGCTTCAGATATTGCAAGCCCCAAGCCTTGGTGGCTTCCACGTGGTGTTGGCCCTGTGGGTGCACAGAAGAGTTGAGGTGTGGGAACCTCTGCCTAGGTTTCAGAGGATGTATGGAAACGTCTGGATGTTCAGGCAAAAGTTTGCTGCAGGGACAGATTCTGCATGGAGAACCTCTAGTAGGGCAATACAGAGGGGAAATGTGGGGTTGGAGCTCCGCCCAGAGTCCCCACCGGGACATTGCCTAGTGGAGCTGTGACAAGAGGGCCACCATTGTCCAGATCCCACAGTGGTAGATCCACTAACAATTTGTACTGTAAACCTGGAAAAGCCATAGACGCTCAGCGCCAGCCCATGAAAGCATCCACAGGAGAGCAGCCATGGGGGCTATTCCCTGCAGATCTGAGCTGCCTAAGACCTTGGGAGCCCACCTCTTCCATCAGCATGCCCTGGATATAAGACATTAATCAAAGGAGGTTAGTTTGGAGCTTTAAGATGTAATGACTGCCCTGCTGAGTTTTGGACTTGCATGACACCTGTAGCTTCTTTGTTTTGGCCAATTTCTCCCATTTGGAATGGGAGCATCTACCCAATGCCTGCACCCACATTGTATCTTGGAAGTAACTAACTTGCTTTTGATTTTGCAGGCTCATAGGTGGAAGGGACTTTCCTTGTTTCAGATAAGGCTTTGGACTTGAAAAATGGGTTAATGCTAGATGAGTTAAGACTTTAGGGGACTGTTGGGAAGGCATGACTGCATTTTAAAATGTGAGAAGAACACAAGATTTGGGAGGGGCCAGGAGTGAAATGATGTGGTTTGGCTCTGTATCCCCACCCAAATATCATCTAGAATTATAACCCCCACAAGTTTAGGGAAGAGCCTGGTGGGAGGCGATTGGATCATAGAGGCAGTTTCCTCCATGCTGTTCTCATGACAGTGAGTGACTTCTCACAAGATTTGATGGTTTTAAAAGTGTGGCACTTTCCCCCCTCCTCTCGGTCTCTCTCTCTCTTGCTGCCATGTAAGACATGCCTTGCTTTCTCTTCACCTTCTACCATGATTGTAAGTTTCCTAAGGCCTCCCCAAACATGTGGAACTGTGAGTCAATTAAACCTCTTTTCTTTATAAATAACCCAGTCTCAGGTAATTCTTTATAACAATGTGAAAACAGAACAATACAGTTTCTTTAGTTTCCAGCTGCTGTATTTTTTTTAAGAAACCCCCCTACAAAGTCTCCCCCTTGCAGGCAGAGTTCTTGGGTGGATCTTGTTAGTAAATTATTGAGTTAACACTCTCTATGGTAGCCTTTCTTCCAGGTACTCTCCTAAAACTTGGTCATTGTTCTGCTAGCCTGAACTGTATCCTCTGACACCTCACACCAATAAGGCAGTAGCTCTCTGCAGATGAGGCAGCATGCAAACTGAGTATGGGGCAGTAGAGGCTTGGGAGGCCTTTAGGCCTAAAGCTGCCAATTTTCCAATTTCATTCCTTTTTCTCCATATTTGCTCTTGAGAGCCTTTAAATAGTTGTATTTTTCAAATATATTTTCTATATTTTAAAAATATAGACAGGTTATTTCAAACAAGCCACTCTGCCATTACCAGAAATCATACGTCTTATGTGACTATTAAGTTTTTTCCTCCTCTAGTCCTTCTATGCTTGAGTTCCACTGAAGAGTCACTTTCTCATATGTGAAAGAATATTCTTTGCTGATCAGTGTGCGGACTTTTTTCTCCTGCTAGAGTCTCAAAAAACAATGCAGCTATGTAATTGCTACAATTTATTAACCTTAACTCACTTTACCTCACAAAATGGCAGAAAGTAGCCAGAATTTATTTTTCATGTCTAGTACTCAGAAAGGAGGATGGGAAAACTGTGAAAAGGAAAAAATTGTTTTTGAAATCAATTCTGTCCTCTTTACAGATAACTAGTGCAAAAGTTCAATAGTCTCTTTCATTTTACTTTCTTAGATAACTTACTGAGAAGAACCTATTGCCCAGGATATGTCCTTTCTATTGAACCTGGAGGCTGTTTCTGAATATCTAGAGTCTTCGTGGTCTTCAATGTTCAGCCACCATTTTATGCTTTAACAAAAATTTCTTGGTTGGAAAATCTTTGAGAACATAAACTGTTCACCAGTGTACCTGTTCCTAAATTCATACTTTTTTGAATTCTGGTCAGTTCTATTCACATACAAAGTTGAAACCAATAATACAGAAAATATTATTTTGGGAAGGAGAGGGAAAGTAAGAGTTGAAAGCTAGAATTTATAAATGTCAGGAAGTTAGAACAGAAGACACTTGAGTATGTAAATAGATATTCAATATATTAAATTCAGATAATAATATTTTGAGTTCTTCAGAAGTATCTGGCTTATAATAGGTGTCAAATAATTACTTGTTAAAGGAAAATTATTTATTTAAAATAGTGAATGATAGAGTATCTTTATTCATGCTATCTACTGTGATTCATTTGAAAGCCAGTTTTATTTAACTTTTCTAGGAAGAGAGACTAAAAGTTTGTAGCACAACCTCTGAGACTGCCTCCAACTCTAAAATATATATATATGTCTATCTGTCTATTCTATCTATCTATCTATCTATCTATCTATCTATCTATCTTCTATCTGGCATATATCATCTATCTATATATGATTGTGTGTTTCTAGATCAAAACAAGCTTGACAAGGCCTCCTCCAGGCATACCATGATAAGTCTTTGCCCATCTCTATGACAACACTTCACACTGTTTTGTAATAATTTACAGAGTTGTCACCTCCATCAGACAGTGAACTGAAGGATGAGAGCAGTGCTATAATAATTTTAGAAGATCTCAGCCATAATTACTGCCTGCTATACACAGTAGAAACTCAGAAAATGGTAAATGGGTACATGTGGGACTTTTTGTACGTAAATGAATGGTTTACTTTTTATGTAAATTATCATCAAGGGTTTTTTCTATATCATATTAATATGCAAAATTAGACTGCTATTGAGAATGTACAGTTTCAGCACTAATTTATTGGCTGCCTCTTAAGGGCCAGGGGCTAAAAGGGTGCAGAAGATGTAAAAATGAGGACATATGTCCATGTGCTAATAGCACTTACAGAGGAACAATGGCTTCTGTTGCCTATTTTCATGTTAAGCAAAAATTGTCACAGGAAGTAAGGCTACTATGACTGGAATCTCCTTTGGAATTCTTAAGATCAATATAATAGTCATGAATAGTCATAATAGTCTTTTTAAATATTTGATTGTTTTAAATGTAATTTCTACTTAAAGATTTATGGCTAAGATATATCAGCAGGCAATGCTCTTAGGCTAAGACTTTCCAAGGGTTATTTTCGATATCTACCTTTAATTCACAAGCCAAAAGAATACCAGGAATTATTGTACACCACATTCTGCGATATTCAATTATGATAGATTTATTTCCAAAATATAAATTGTAACATCTCAATTTTACCGTAAGATAAACCAGATGAAGTAAGTAAGGCACACATGGTTGGCACATAGGAAAAAAAATTGATGTCTCTTCTCATTTCTAGGATTTGGTAAAAGAATAATGGATTTATATAATGAGTCAAGATTGCCCAAAGACAACTTTTAGATTACTGAATTGCATAAAGAAATGACTAGTTGCTTTAGCTGATCAGCTCTGCTCTTTAGAAAGAAGTAGCACCAGTTTAGTAAACTCAAGGAAACAGAACGCATTGGAGCACCTCACCAAAGTGAAGTTAGGAAACAAATGTTAGAATTTAAAATTCTGGAGAAGAGAGAATTGGGTCATTCTTATATTTTCTAGAACTAAAGACACAGCAAAATGTGAAATATTCCACTAACATCTACCACCTCATAGCCATTGCCCTTGTCTCTTCTAGCGTAGGTCTAGCTCCATTGTTTTAATCTGGACAATTTTAGTAACGTGTTAGCTCAGTTCTGTGTCTGCAGTCTCAGCTTCCTCTTGTATGTACTCCAGAGACCCACCAGAGTGGAAGGAACATGTCGTTTTCATGCTCAAGTTCCTTCAGCAACTCCATCAGAGAACAAAGCCCAAAGACAGCCTGGTATTTAAATCTTTTTATACATTCCCTCTTTGCAAGATCTTTTAAAATAGCAACATTAATAATAATAATAATAATAACAGCAACTATATTCTGTGCACATTGTTGAGACATTTCACATGGCCACATTCAAACGTTTGTCTATGTTTGCTGTTTCACTATATTTGCAGTCCTTGCAGCACAGATATGTTTTTTCTATCAGTTCTATAAACAATATTACACAAAGTGTCTAGCAGTGACTGGATTAATTAAGGGGCCACCAAGTTCCAAGGCAATTTAAGAAAGAATTTTAACGCTGCCATGAAATCCAAAGCACTTGTTCACGTTTAACAAGCTGTGCAATGAAGGAAAGGCGATGAAATTTGGCACTGCAAGGGATGGAACAGACACTTTTTTTTCACCCGAATGATCACTAGATGCGGTAAAAACAGAAAACTCTTTTTAGCTTTTTATTTTTTAAGACAGAGTAATGGGAGATCTTGTGTTTCTGCCTAATGCTAATTTTCTGACTCAAAATGACCAAATCACTTTTCAGGGCTAGTGAAATTGTTCAATGGAATGTCATTATGCTGGGAAATGAAATTAATGTGTGGTCCAAAAATAAAATCGACTTTCTGTAAAAACAGGGTATTGGTAGACGCTGAAAGGATGTTTTAAAAAGGATAAAATGACAGCAACCCCAAGACATTTTAAAAATGCAGTAATGTAGTTATTCTGATCATTTTTTTCTTCTTAAAAATGTTTTTCCACATATATTTGGATCAAATGTCTACAATTATATTTTATTATTATTTTACATTTCCTTGTATATTCCAAATGGAGACTGTGTTCATTCCTTTACCCATACCATCAGCTAGCCCGAAACATTCAAACACCACACCCTCATCTCCTACAAAGATCAGCTAGAAACACCACATTGCACTCAAAATAATTTCTCAGGAAATTCTTGCTTGTTTGTAAAACTGTTTTAACTAAGATTCTGTTTCCACCTACTCCAAAATCTGGGAGTAGTGGCTTCCAGCTTGATCTTGTGGCCCTTCTAGACTTGGTGTTGACCCCTTATCTCCTGGTAGCCATTCCCTTTCTTTACAGACAGCAGCTCTGCCCAACTCCCGTGACCTTCTATTGTTTGAAAAAGAAAGTGTTCCCTCTAATGTCAACACCGAGTCACATGTTGCTGTAATAAATGTAACTGTCAAGATTCTTTGTCCTCAACGCACCTTTGACATGGTTGATCACTCCCTGCTCTTTGACAGTCTCCAGTTATTTGACTTCTGGGATGTCGCCCTCTCTGGATTCTCCCCCTACCCACCTTGACTGCTACTTCTATATCTTTTTTTGCTGGTTCTACCTCATCTCCTTGACTCAGTCTTGGACATCTTTTCTTTTCTCAATGTACTCACCTTCTTCATGGTGCCATCAGTCTCATAGCATTAAAATCTATCTATAGGCTTGTGTCTCCCAAATGGTGACTCTCTTTTCTAGTCCTTTCCCCTGGACTCGAATTTCCAGTTGTCTGCTTTACATCCCCACACAGACATCTAATAAACATCTTAAATCTAGCATGTCCCAAATAGAGTTATTTCCAGCCTTCTGCATCTCAGTTTTGGCACCTCCATCATTTGCACCACTCAGACCCAGTCATCTGTGATTCTTCTCTTACTCTCCCACTCCACATCAAATCTCCCATCATGCCAATGTCGCCGTCAAAATACATGCACAGTGGAAGATTTCTCATGACTTCCACGGCTACCAGCCGTGGAACGAGCCAGCACCATCACTGTCACAGATTATGGAAACACCTTCTTCTTTCTGCTTCTGCCTTTGTGATCTATATTCTGCCTACCATCCTAACTTTTCATTTATTCTTAACCCTGCTATCAAAATAGGTTATATCATCTCACATCCCCTTTTACACCCCTTCTGTAGCTTCCTGTGTTATTTCAAGGGAAAACTAAAACCATTACAATGGACTGCTAGGTTCTACACAATCTGCACCTCCCCACTGCCCTGACTTGTATAACTCCCACTACAAACCCTCCACTGGCCTATACTGGCTGGCTTGCTGCTCCCAAAGCCTATGCATCCTACTTCTACCTCAGAGCCTGCTACAATCTGAATGTTTGTGCCAGCCCCCCCACAAAATTTACATATTGAAATCTAATCACCATTGTGACAGTATCAGAAGGTGGAGCCTTTGAGGGGTGATTAGGTCTTGAGGGCTCCACCTTCATGAATGGAATAATCACCCTTATGAAAGAGGCTGCAGAGAGCTGTGTTGCCACTTCCACCATGTAAGACACAGCATAAAGGCTCCATCTGTGAAACAGAAAGCAGCCCTCAACAGACACTCCATGTGCCAGTGCCTTGACTCTGGACTTCCCAGCCTCTGGAAGAGAAATCATTTTCTGTCATTTAAACGATTCAGTCTATGGTAGCTTTGTTATGACAGCCCAAGAGGACTAAGACAGAGTCTTTGCACTTGCTATTTCCTCTGCTGGACCGCGTTCCCCGGCTAATTTCCATTCCTCCATGTTGCTCCTTCTCTCAGCTCCCCTACATCTTACTCCAATATCGCCTTCCCAGCGAGTTCTTCCATTACCACCTCTAAAATCGGAATGCCTCCAGTGCTCCCTCTTCTCATGGTCTGCTTAGTTCTCTCTACAGCACATCTCACATATTATATATTTTAGCTTTTTTTTGCTTTTGATTCTCTGCCTCCTTCTACCAGAACACAAACTCCATGGAACAGGGAGTATCGTCTGTGTCCTCATGGTTGGATCCCTTATGGTCTAGACTAGTGCCTGCTACATAGGTGCTCAGTAAATGTTTCTTGATTGGATGAAAGAACAGAACCACCCTGTCTTAGCCTCAGATGTACAAGTTTGCCATCTGCTAATCTGCCATGAGCAACTGAATCCAAATTAACATTTATAAGCACCAATTATATCTGAGATGAATAAGACAAAAATCCTTGCCCTAAAGAAAATGGCAGTTTAGCAAGAAGATAACTGGTAGTAATAACAATAATAATAACAAAGATAACAGTTTTCATTTATCAGTTGTCTAATATATGCTAGGAACCGAACGAGGTTGTAATTCCTTTGCATCTAGCAACTCAGCTGCAGGATCAAAAGAGAGTCAAAGGCGGGAAGGAAGGCTTCAGATCTGGGCCATATGAATGCCTACATATGTATAGCATGGTGTGAAAAAAATAAAAGGGTATATTGACTAAAACATTCACACCAAAAGATGAATTTAGGCTTTGTACTTGAAGACATAGAGGGGCAGCACAGCAAAGTATATCAGTGTGAGGTTCAGGTGTAGACCACCACATTCCAATACTTCCTCTGCCACTAGGTATGTGAGCTGGAGCAAGTCTCTTAACCTCTCTGGCCCCTGTCTTCTCATTTGTCAAAGCAGGAAACAATAGTCCTCACTACCTGTTTAAGGGGAAGAGGTGCAATTAAATAAGTTAATATGAAAAAAAAAATGTAAATACGTCCTTGACACCTAGTGAGTACTGCATCATGATCAATTATCATTCTTTATAAGCAGCAAGTGCTTCATCCATTGATTCACTGAACCCATGTGGGGCACTAGCTTCACCATGAAGAGTGGTTTCTGCCCTCAGGGGCTGGCAGTGTAGGGAGAGGGACCGGGAGGTAACAGCAAATGCAAGGCAGCTTTGTCTGGTGAGCACAGGCCAAACAAAGGGCAGGGCCCACGGTCCGAGGTCAACAGCAGGGCTTCCAGGAGGTGGTGTCTGTGGAGGAAATGTGAGGATTCTTCTGGTGGGTGGAAGTGAGGGTTGGT